ATGACTGTCGCCCGCCATAATTTGCAGATGATAATGGTTTTAGCCGCTGCCATGCTTTCGACCAAAACAGGCGCAGCTTGATGACGTCATGGGTTAGGGTTAGGAAGACAGAGTTTTTTTTCTGCTTTTGTCCTTTTCTATTTATAAATTCTAGTTATAACACATGTTTGTAGTATTGTTGTTTAGTAGTGGAGGGCCAGGAACAAGCGAACCAGAAGAAGTTGGAAATGGGGAGATATATACTGTGTGTACATGAGGTTGTTTTTTAGTAAATGGTGCTAAAGGACTAGAAACTCAGGTGGGTTGTGATCTAGAACTGTGCACCTTAGTTTTATTTGAAGATAAACCAAACAAAAACTCCCAATTCCCTGTCCATAGCCCCTGTAACCCTAACCACATCCTCACCCTGAACCTTGATTTAGATTTTTAACCGGAAACTCCTTTTATCTACACGTTTATCCATACCACAACTTTCCATGCAGTTAAAGTTGTGGTATGCCTACGTGACCCTGGACCAAGATCAATTATGATGATCCAGGAACAACACCCAAGCAGGGCTATCAGACACACCCTAGTGACCACAGTATTTTCTGTGGGATGAGAGGGGGAAGTAATGAGACATACTCCTTTATTAAAGCATTGATTTTGACATAAACAGGAGGTAAATATAGGTGATGCTAATGCCATTAGCTAATGCTTCTGCTCTATTTAGGTCCCAGCCTCAGATAATGTGGCTGCTGTGATAAATGTCAAAGTCCAAATATAGGGCAGGCTGAGCCGGATGGATGATTATCAAAATATCAAACTTTAACACAATTTTTCCACATCTAAAACATAGTCAACATAATATTTTTCATGGCCATCATTGTTCCCTGAGCTTCACCTTGTGTTTACTGTTATAACGCGCAGAGATGAGAGGGGTTCTTCAACCTCTTAAAAGTAAGGGGGAAAAAAGAGGATAAAAGTAGACCTTTTATGCCACGCTGCAAAATTTCCATAAACCTTTGTGTGAGTTCTTCTGAAGGACATTGTTTAATTTAGTGAATTGTTGAAAGGTGCGTGTTGCCTGTTTAAAGTGAAGCTTCATCAGCTTTACACACCAAAGTCTGTTGACAGGTGTTTGCGGAATATGTGTGTATGTGGCGTTTCAAGTCTTAAGCACCTCCAAAGGGACTCAAGTCCCTCAACTCCTTTGAGTCAGCATCAGGTGGGGCTGCAGACTAAAAGAAACCTGAAAGTGAAAAAAACCCCAAAAACGTTGTGGGTGTTGAAATGAACTTACTATTCCTCATCGTCTGGTCCTCCTCTCCACTTCAGGCTAGACCCTCAAGGCTGCATTAGCCATTACTAGCATAACAATGTCTGAAGTGAGCTGCCGAAGGTCAAATTGCATTGTGGAAAATGTGGGTGCCAGGTTGTGACAAGACAGAATTACATGTGGAATTAAAAAAAAAGAGTATTTCTGGCTCTGCTCCATGCATTCTGATGATTTTTCTTTTTTAAAAGCCTTTATGAGTCTGGCAGTGGTAAAAGAAGGCAATGCTAAATCGGTGGAGGAAAACTGCATTGTGGAGATACAACCGAATAACACACAAATCTACATCTAATCGTTCAGTTAATCAGCCACGCCCCTTCAGTGGTTGGACAGAAACAAGAAAAAAGAAAAAGGCATCAAATTGCTACCAGCCACTACCCTGCACTGTCTTTGTGAGCTCGCTGTTGGCCCTCGATGAGTGCATGCGTGTGCGCGCGCTCGCGCAGTTTTGTGTGTCGTGTATCTATCGTCTGTATAGTAGAGTGACCTTGATGTCTGTGCTCAGCAGGAAGACGCTAGAGAGGAGTGATTAACAAGAGAGAGACAAAAAGAGGAGAGAGAGAAGTGCAAAGAAAGATGAAAATATAAAACACAAAGGGAGGAGAAAAAAAAAGAACAGCAGGAGAACAGGGGGAGTGGGAAAGTTAAACACGCAAGTAAAAAAAAAAGAAAGAAAAGAAAAACAGTCTTTGAAACAAGTGAGAGAGCGAGAGAGACAGAGCGAGGGAAGCGAGTTGTGAAAGAATGAGAAGCCAAACGAACGGGGGGGCAAATTAGGGTGGGGTGGAAGAGTGACTCATCGCAACTCTACTCACTTTCTTCTTCTTCTTCTTCTTCTTCTTCTTCTCCTCCCTGCAGGCAATCTGGAGGTGCAGTCATCAAGAACAGGTACGAAGGGGTGTGGGAGAGGGGTGGGGTGGTGAGGTTGAGTGGAGGGAGGGACAAAGGGAAGAATATCCCACTGCATGTTAATCAAACTCACACTTGTACAGGTGGGAAAATACTGTGCATACATTGTTCTTGCAGTGAGAATAAAGTGTTATATACTCTCTTACTGTACAGGATGTGTGTGTCTGTGTGTCTGGGTGTGTGGTGTTAACAGTGAGTGGTCGCCAGCTTGTCTGCTGTGACCTAGGTTATTAGGACTGAGCATCTCCACTGCTCACCTACCTACACACACACACACACACACACACATACACACACACACATCCTGTACAGTAAGAGAGTATATAACACTTTATTCTCACTGCAAGAACAAAGCTCAAGTACACACACACACACAAATAGAGGGTAGCTATCCATGACTCTTCACCCACTGCCCCTTTTGATTGTTTGGGTGTGTGCAAGCTTCACGTTGCTCCTTGTTCTACTTAAAGGCTTCCTCTTTCGACTCACACGCCTGGGGTTTTGACTTTTCTGCTAATACTGGACCTCCTCTTGTCCTTCACCTTTAACCCCTCCCTATGTCCTCCATCTTTGTTCTTCCCCTTTGCTCTGACTCAGTCTTGGAGAGGAGTTTTATAAGGAGGCCATCGAACACTGTCGCAGCTACAATGCCCGTCTGTGTGCAGAGCGCTCCATGCGGCTCCCTTTCCTGGACTCCCAGACTGGGGTGGCCCAGAGCAACTGCTACATCTGGATGGAGAAGAACCACCGTGGACCAGGTTTGTGTATGTGTGTGTGTGTTTTTTAGTGTTTTTACCCACCAGAGTGTTCTTTCTCTTCTTCTCCTGTGTGTGTGTATGCCAGCTGTTGTGCTACACGAACTGTTCTCTCCAGTCGCTCATCACGCTTCTTCCTTCCTTCCATCCTCTGCTCTGCTTGTTTCTGTCTTTCCTTTTCATGCCTCCTACCTCTCACACCTCAACTTTTTTCCCCCAAAGGGTGTTTCCTCATTGCTTTTTCCTTCTCTGTAACATCAGTGTATTTTGGCACTGAATCAGACACCCCTGTAGGCGATGTTACGCCGCTGGCACCAGCTATTCCAGAGACAACACACTTATGTGCGTGTAGTTTTGTGTAATGCCTGATGCATTAACCATTTTGGTTTGTACAATTTATTTATTTAGTTTTTGCTTTCTGTGTGAGTCACTTTCAGATAAAACTTTATTTTCAATAAAGTTTAATCCAAATTAGAATTGAACTCACTTATTGAATTTTTAAAATAATTTTGAATTTTTATTTTGTGTTAGTAGATTTAAAGTTGTTTTTCTTTGTTTAATTTCACTACTTTTTGTTACTGGCCAAATAACTTTGAACAAAATTGCCACATTTTCTAAAACCACCAAACAAAACTTCATTGTTTATTGGATATTTTACACACGCACATTAACCCAACACAGCTCCATCATACTTTTCTTTGGAGTGGTTTGGTCACACTGAGATCCAATAAGTACTATTATAGCATCCAATGGTGCACAGAGGACACAATATGATTTTTCCTGTAGTGTCACATACCCATACCAACATTTGTGGCCACATTAGCTGGCATCAGGGCTGTAGAGTGGTGAATGACAGTTAAATAAGCTACATTTTGTAGTTTAGTGGTAGTTCATGTAGTTAAAGACGACATGAAACACTAAACATATAAAGGCTAATTTACACCACTGAGCCCTCCTCAAAACTGATATACAGGGTGGACCATTTATATGGATACACTGTAATAAAATGGGAATGGTTGGTGATATTAAAGTCCTGTTTGTGGCACATTAGTATATGTGAGGGGGCAAACTCCTCAAGATGGGTGGTGACCATGGTG